GCTGTTATTTGTTTGACTTCTCCCTTGTTTCCTCACCCATAAAAGAGGGGGCTGTGGTAGGTCACCCTGAAGGCATCTCAAGTGACCCCATGAATGTTAAGAGCCACTAACTCCCAGCTCAGAGTACCGGAGCAAGGGGCACAGAAAGCAACAACCCCGAGCCTTCGAGTGAAATCCTTCAGAGAAGCTCATTCTTTCCAGCACTAGCTGAATAAGATTCCAATAAACATATTGCTGAAATGTTTGTTTCCGGGTGTCATTTTAGACTGCAAGTAGCGAAAACAGATCCAGCTCCTATATATAGATACTGCATTTGGTTGTGTTCTGGGAGGCTTTTATTACTATGCTCCCTGGCTGGCTCCCAGCTGAGCTTTTCCCTCAAGGGATCAGATTTTGGAATCAGAAAGTGAGAGAGGATCAGTGACCATATTAAGGGGTCTCTCCCCCACCCCCCCCACCTCTCTCTCTCCCCACTAATGCTCTATACTGCAGGTGGACGCCAATGTGGACTGGCTCCTCCCTGTGCTCCAGCACTCTTAATAATAATGATGACAATGCTAATGGAAACTGACCAGCCCCACTATGGCAGCAAATACAAGCGAAACAGCCCTGCGGTCCTGGGCTTAAGGGAACCATAGTATAATTTGGGTTGAAACAAAGTGCAGATTGTCACAAACAGCTCAGTCTTTAGATAAGAGGAGGCAGGGCCCTCTCTGGACAGAAGCAAAAAAAAAGGGGCTACTCAGTATTAAGGGTGGGGGCTTTTTGGGGGCGGAGGGGGATGGGTTTCTGAATTTTACTCTAGAATTCTCCAGGGGAAGATAATGCTGGCAACAAGAAGTGAATGAAGGAAGGTGGAAGTGGGTGTTGGAGGAAGGGTGTAGGCAGGGAAGGAGGAGGAAATAGGGGTTTACTTAAAGAGACAATGTTGAACCCTGGCAATCTGCTTTTCTAAAATGTGTCTGATCACTGGAGTGAGCCCCTCCACTGTGTATCCTTTGTTTTCTGTGCAGAAAACCCAACCCCTGCCTCATTCTGTAGTGGCTTTCCTCACCTGCCCCCCTGATTTCTTTATGTTTAACCATCATGGATCTAACTGCCTTCCTGGTCTCCATATTTTATGTGCCTCACCATTTCTTCCTCTTTTTTCCTTCCTCTCGGTCTCATTCTTCCCTCCTCTCTTCCCTGCTTTTCTTCTTCAGTCCTTCCTCCTTCCAAACTCTTCTCTTTTCCCTTCGCCCCCACCCCTCCTCCTTCTAGTTCACTCCTTTCCTCCTCAACCCTCCCCTCCCCCTTCCTCCCCTTTTCCTCCTCTTTCCTCCCTCCTCTCTCTTCCCTTCCTTCTCCTTTCCCCTCGCCCCTCTGTCCTTCTCCCCTTCTTTCCCTCTCTCCCCGTCCCCAGGTCCCCATCCCCTGCCCCTCTCCCCTCTTCCCTCTCTTGTCTCCTTCCCCTTCCCTCCGGTCCTTGTTTATCTCTAAGCTCCAATTTCTCGCCTTATAGATTTACCTGCAGAACAAGACACCGCTCCTCTTGCAAAAACTGTTTAAGAAATCCATATCCTCTCCCTTCATTGCTTGGGCATTTCAGAAATGATATTCCTCCCCCAGCTACCCCCGTCAAAATAAAATAAATTCAGCCAGCTTCTGCCGTGTGTCCTTAAATCCATTCCCTCTGGCTTCGCTGGTTTGAAAGCCTGTACCCTAGAAGGGGCCTCCTGCATTTGCTGGCAACCCTGCTCGAGTCTGATCGCCACAGATAGTGCTTGGGAGTGAAAAAAAAAGGGGGAAAAACCCTCTCGTTGGAGATTTCAAAACAGATTCTACCAGCTTTCCAATCTGTGCACTTGCGGAGTGGCAGGACTTGGGGAAGAGGGGTAGGGGCTTGGGGTGCCGGTGTTTGTCACAAACAAATAAGCCACAGAATTTATGTATATATAAATGTGCGTTGCCTTTGGCATGTGTGGTGTCTCCCTGGCATCCAGGGTGGGTGCTGTGCACGGCCGACTTCTCTCCCACTTTTGCTGGGGCATGATGTGCATGTGTGTGTGTGATGGAATTGAGGAGGGGGCTGCTGGGTTTTTTATCTGATCCACTTGACAGATTATTTGAATCCAGCCCACCTTTCCGCACATGTCAAACAGATGGGATCATTGTTACAAGCCTTGAGAGAGCCGCTGAGCGGTGGGTAAGGCAGGGAGGGGGAGAGGGAAGGGGGGCGGAGGGGAGAGAGGGGCACCTTCTAGTAGCTTTGTGTTTTCACACGTTGGAACTGACAGGAGCCCTTCTTCTCTGTGGGGGGGTGCTTTGGGGGGTCTGGGGCTGATGGGGGGTGAGATGGAAAGGAGAGCGAGAGGTGGGGTGTTGGTGGGCAGGGTTATGATGTCACAGCAAAAGTTACAACAGGAGGAAAACACAGAAATGGTTCAACATTTTTTTTTTAAACTTTGGACTGCCAAGAGCTGAAGGAGAGTGGTGAGCAAAGGAATGAAGGGGAGAGAGAGAAACTAAACTGGAAGCTTGAGTTTTGTATAGCTTCTTGAAACCTTATGAATGGATTTCTAGCAGCTGAGAGCCAGGAGAGACCTATAGGGACTGCAAGATCATTCACACATTAACAGGGACAGAAAAGCAGGCGGAATTCTTCCTTGCTGTGTTATCCCTCCTTCCTGAAATGAATGGTATGGAACCTTTTTCTGAGGGTCATGGGGGTGGCATGAAGGAGGGGGAAGTTTTCTTCTTTTCTTACCTGAGGATCTTTTCTTCATTTACACTAAGGTTCCTCTCCTTCCTTCTTTTCTTTCCTGGTGTTTCTCTCTCTTCTCTCTCCTCTCTCTCTCTCTCCCCCCCCCTTCTTCCTCTCCCTATCCACCCCCCCTTTCCTCTTCTTTTATGCCTTTCTCTACATCTCCCTCTACTCCCTTCCAAAGCCCCAAACTCTTTTGGCTACTTCAGGGGGAAAAAAAGAAAGAAAAAGAAAAAGAAGGACTAAGTCAGAAGGAGTGAAGGGAGACAGGAAAACAAGAAAAGGGAAAAGGACAGTCCAGGATTGAGAGATTTCTGTTTAGTAATGTCCACGTGCCTGAATTGATCTCCTCTTTGGGGACTTGCTTTGAGGCTCCAGTGGATGCTGCACAGGGAGACAGGGCATGCCAGGGGGCGGGTGATTAGGGCACAGCATGCTGAACGCAAACAAGTCAGTTATTAGCAGGGCTAGAGGAGTTTAGAAGATGATGAGAAGTCTCGAGGAAAAAGAGGCACTGCGATCTTACTCCAAAGTGTGTGGGCTGCATGTTTTATGTGTGGGCGACACAAGCAGGGATTTTAGAACTGCAAGTAATTTTTCTTAGTGAAGGAAGGACCCAATATATTTCTCTACCTGTTTTGTACCCACCTGTGGTCAGACATCCTCACCCGTGTCAAAAATTCAGAACCATGCCGTGTGTGTGTGTGTGTGTGTGTGTGTGTGTACACGTCCATGTGTTTAGGGGGTGGGACTCTGAGATAGCCAGTCTCCGGGCAAACATTATTACAGAGGTTGGAGTCACATTATTTACTTCCCCATCCTCTCCATTCATTTCAAATCAATTGAAAAAAAAATAGTTGCTTCGGTCTAGCTGTTCATTTTTGTAAATTACTTATTTTGAGCATCTCATTTGTTTATTTGCTCACTCAGCATATGGAGACTTTTAGTAACTTCAGAGTGAGAAACTTCAGAGGGAATAAGAAGATCTACGTAATACGAACTCATGGCATTCCCATGTAATGCTTCTTACAGTAGGCTAATTGATTTGTTCTTTCTCCCAATGTCCAATGTAAAGCGAATTTGGGGTATTGTTCTTTTGAATCCCAAATGATTGAAAGAAGGCAAAAAATACAGGAGGCTTGTGGCAAAACGAAAGAGAAGCAAGTGGTCCCTGAATGGCTGGTGGGGGGTTTATTAGACAGTAAGCAGATCTGTTCACAACACATGTGCAAGTATGTGTGTGTGTCTGAGAGAGAGAGAGAGAACACACACCGAAAAGAGTGCTCCAAGACAGTATTGATTGCTATTGATTGTGTAGGCTGCAGCTGCTGAGAGAGAAAGCCCGAGATGTTTACTAGGGAAACCAGGAGTAGCGTCTGTCCCCTGTGCCTCGGTGAGGTGGGGAGGTTTTCAGGAGGAAGGAGGGGACAGGGAGTAGGTGGAGTGATGCACCGAACTTACTAGCTTTGACATCATCATTGTCTTTAAATGAAACAAACAAGAAGATAATTACAGGCAGAGAGAGAAGGAGAGAGGAGAGCAGGAGACACCGGAGAGAACAGGTCCCCTGAAGTACATGCTCTTCTTCTCGCTCTCTTTCCCATCTGCCCAGGGACCCACAAGACTCCCAGAAGGTGAAGTCAAGGGCTCTCAGACTCATAAGGTTATTAGGACACCAGACTGGCATCCCCAAGGAGAACTTTACGGAGACTTGCAACATACCAACAAGTTGGAAGGGGATTAAAAAACCTTCAACACTCCACAAGCCCAAGCACCAGGCTGAGGGAAACATTCTGACCTGCACAGGCAGACTGGGCTCTGGCTGAGGAGGACCTCTGGAGAGCAAAAGCTAAGTACCAGCTTGGATTTTTGTGCCCCCAGGTTCCTTTTGCAGTGTTAGATAGAAGCATCAAATTCTGTGCCTCTGGATGCAAGTTCCTCTAACGATTTGTTCGAAGGTGGATGTAGCTTAGGATAAGGGCTACAGAAAGAACGTAACTCCTAGGGAAGGAAGAAGGAGAAAGGAATGAAAATGAGAAGACTAGTGTCTTTTTCATGACTTCAGGTAGGGAGCGGTATGTGTTTGTGAGGGAGTGTGTGTGTGAGAGGATCTGGCTCCTGTCTGTGTGTCCCTCTTCTAGGATCGGTGGGGGGAGGGGCTACTGAAGAAGGGACCAAAAAAAAAAAAAAAAAGAAAGAAAGAAAGAAAGAAACCTGAGCTCTCTAGGAGGAGGTTCCAAGGAACCCAGAGAAATGAACTTCGTTCTGCAAGGACTGAACTAGAGTCAGGAGAGCCAGGTCAGGGGAGAAGGAGGGAAGCACAGCACTCACCGGCTGGTAGCCAGAAGAGACACACTTTTGGGGCTGCTCCTAAAAGTTTGGTCTGTGAACAAAACCGTTTCCCTGGTGACTGCGAATCCACTGCTAGCCGTCTCTTTCTCTTCTCCCCATCATTCCTGTGTGGTACCCAGAAGTTGACTTCTGGTTCTGTATAAAGAGCTGGGGGAGGTATGATGTGTCTAAAAATCCTGAGAATCAGCCTGGTGATTCTGGCTGGGTGGGCATTCAGTACTGCCAGCTCTGAGCCAGGCTGGCCACGCAAGAGATCCGTGGCTCAGAGGGGACACCTGAACCAGGTGCTGTTGGAAGGAGAACGCTGTTGGCTGGGGGCCAAGCTGAGAAGACCCAGAGCTGCTCCCCAGCATCATCTCTTTGGGGTCTACCCCAGCAGGCCTGGGGACCACCTGATACCCTACCCTGTGGGGGGTCAGGGAACCCGCCATGCAGGACACAGTAAACCAGATGCCGCGGGGGGCCTGGCCACGAGCCCAGCCAGAAGTGGGGGGCCGAGGGGTGAAGCTGAGCAGCCAGCCACCTCGTGGAACTGGCATGATCCTCCTGGGCGGGCTGAGCTGCGGAGAGACAGTGACACTTATCCTGGCGATGGAGGATCCAAGGAGATTCCAGGTGAGGCTGAGACTCAGGAGCACTCGGCCACGGCCGCCACCGTTACCAGCACCTTCGTGGGCCCAAAGGAACCCCAACCCGAGAGCCGAAGGAACGGCCGGGCCAAGACCAGGCATCGCCGTCAGGTGGTGAAGGGGCAGGCGGGGGGCGTGCGGGGAGACCCCGGTGTCCCCCTCCGGCATTTCCAGCCTCGGCCTGAGCATCCTCTTGGGCACGGGGGCAGAACCAGTCTGACAGCGGACAGCATCCAGAAGGGTGGAGGGGACCCCCACTGGGAAGCAGAGACCTTTAACCCCCGCGGAGGCTTGCCGGTCTTGTACTTCTCGGGGAGGCGGGGGCGGCTGCTGCTGCGCCCCGAAGTGCCGGCTGACATTCCCCGGGAGGCCTTCACGGTGGAAGCCTGGGTGAGACCAGAGGGAGGACAGAACAACCCAGCCATCATTGCAGGTAACAGCCCGCGCCTGGGCTTTCTGTGGTCCTTTGGGTATGGCTGGCTTTGTGTTTGCCTGGGTTAGACCGAGGGGGCGAGGAGAGGAAGGGCACAGGGGCAGGAGAGCCAGGAGGGGCTGGCCAGGGAGAGAGGGGGAAGGGCCTTTATTCGTCAGCTCAGCAGGACTCCAGACATCATCTACGATAATGGCTCTGTGACCACAAGAGCATTTGTCCCAACGAGTATCGATCTCCTGTGGTTCTGTACATGGCGCGTGCACTTAAGAGACCTTCAGCTCACTCCTCACCCCCTCTTTAAAGGGGAAGATCTCTGGTTCGTTGTCAGTGGGGAAGAAGCGTCACACTCCATTTCTCAGAGTCCAGTCTGAGAGAGCCAGACAACTTGGCAGCTACGTGTCAGGACCGGGACCTGCGCAGCGAGCCACGGGTGGGCGGGGCCAGGCTGCCTGAGCCGCCAGGTGCGGAGCCCTAAGCCCTGGCCGTTCCCTTTCCCTTGAGCAGCCCTGGAACTTAGCAGAAAGCTACTATCCAGCCCGGGTCCTGGAGTCCTGTTTGCTTGTCCTAACATGTATCCAGCCTAAGAACAGCAGGGTCTGCTGGAAGAGGTTGGCACTTACAAGTGGGGACCCTGGTGTCTAGCCCTTGGCTTTTGTATGAGGGACCTAAAAAGGAACCATAACTATGGTTTTGATCAGAGGTAATACCTCAGGACATTGCCTCTGTGTGTTTTCCACTATGCCCAGATCTTGGCTTTCATGGAAAGTCACCCAGAAGGACAAGGAAAAGAGTGGCATTAGGAATAACTATCTCCCTTGCCTTACTGGTGGTGGTGGTTGGGGGGGGGGGGTTGGTTTCAAGCAAGGGCTGGGGGTTAGACAGGACAGGTCATCGTTTAGGGTGTCATGATCCCTTTGGATCCCTCCATGACAGGACCTCACACAAGGCTAGGCACATTGTAGATCCATTTTAATCTCGTTAATTTGGATTATCTACAGTGCTCTCTGATGTTTGCCTGTCCCATTGACATTGGTGGGGAAACGAAACAGTGAGAGGTGTGCCCAAGGCAGAGCAGGAATGAAACCCCAGAGCTCCTGAAGTGCTTGACAACTTCCCAAATTAAAAACTTCTCAGGTTGCTGGATGCCGGCAAATAAGTTTCAGACTGGAGAAAGAAATCTGGAAGGAGGGAGCCTCTTTCAATGGGGTGTTGCTGGAACATCCCTTCTGGACACGCTGTCTCCCCCTCTTTGGCTGTGATTTCTCTTTTGGAAGCTGGGATTCCCAGACACTGAGCACTCGAGAGTCTTGTGGTTTTGCTTTATTTTATTTTTGGGTGGGAGAGGGGGTGAGGGGAGGGGAGAGAGAAGGGGCTGGGCTGTAAGAAGGTGGGGGCAGAGACAAAGTAGAAGGAAATCCTTATTCTGGGGCCAAATGGAAGAAATAATGAGATGATTATCTGATCAGAGTTGGCAGCTTCGCAGCTTTTCCCAGATGACATCTTCTTGCTGCCTAATCTCGCTTCCTAGTACCCATCTGCCAGGGAAACTGTGTGCTTGCCGTCTAGACCGAGACCCACGACTCCGCTTACCCCTCCTCCTGCAGTAGCAACAGAGGGACCTGGGATCAGTTCCCTGGCTGTGAAGAATTAGAGAGGGATCCAACAGGAATATATGAGCGAGGCTCTCAGAGGCTATTGCTTCCAGTTATTAAAACTCAAACCCGAGGGAACAGATTCAGGACAGTGGGTACCTGACTTCTGTCCTATCCCTTCCATGTCCCATTTCGCGCTCTGCAGAGAGTAGCATCAGGAGCTGATTCCAGTTACAGCATGGCTCCTTGCACTTCTCCACCTGCCCCCCGTACACCTCCCTCCCTCACCAACCTGTCCACCGCCAACCACCCTCTCCCCACTTGCCACAGCACATTCAGACCCTTCTCCAAAGTGCCCCTCTGAATCCTCTGGAAGCATGTAAAATTAGGCAGGAAGTCTTTTGCAGACAGTCTAGTCTCTGAGGCTTCTTTGTCTTCTAATCAAAGTGGCCCCTGTGGTGTACTGGTATTTCCCCTTGAGGTCCACACCAGGAAGGTGGAGGGCAGGGAATACCCAGGTCTAGCTCCTCTCCACCTTCCACCCTATATCTTTCTTTAGACTTGTGCACATCAGAACATACCCAGGAAAGATTTAGGGTAAAAGTCTGGGAGAGATGGGGGCTGGGAACAAGACCTTCATTCTTCAGGGTTTTAGCAGCCGGGCTCCCAAGGGCATAGACATCTTTGTTCACCGTGCTTAGCTCCTTACACTTCACCTGCGGGCCCCCTTGCTGAGGGCCATGAGGCAGCCAAAGGTAGTTCCCCCCATAAAGGTCTCTGATTTGCATGAATTTACTCACTCCTATCAGCAGACCAGACCATCTTCCTCTCTTATCCAGCACTGGGCCTGTAGCTGATCACTGCCTGTTCCTGGGCTGGTGGGCCTTCACCTGTGCAGAATAACAACTGGATCCAGTTCCTGGGAGCTAAACATAATCCAGCCTTTGAAGTTCTGCTGCTCCGCTGAGGATCATCTGAGGCGCTGCAAGGCTTGACTCCCATACTCTTTTCCAATGGCTCTCAAACCTCAGCTTCTACCTCCTTAGACCCAGCATCCCAGTTCTCAATCTCCCAAACTTGGGGCATTTTTCCCCTTCAGCAGAGAATTCAACCACACCAGCCCCTGTGAAGGAACCCCCTGAGATGTGGGGCCTCAGGGAATACTTCCCACATGGGGCACTAGGTGGCAGTGTTGCCTCATGCACAGGAGAGTAGGCGGCTGTTTGGAAGCCACGTAGTGGGTGGGGAATGTGTCTGCTTTCTTGGATTGCCGTCCCTGCCTGCGCCTCTGGGCTGTATTTTATCACCCCCTCCCAGAGTGTTGTTGGTAGGCATCCCTTAGGGTTGGCTTCATACAAGTCCTTTTGCAGGGCCTATGTGAAAGGGCTAAAGTGGCATTTTGTGGGGTTGTGACTAACTTGCACTTGCAGCAACTAGTAAAGAAAACAAAATCAACTGGAGTTACCTCCTCCCTCCACCCCAACTCCCACATTCTTCCAAAATAGGAAGTTGGACTCCAGAATGGATTGCTGGGATCCTTTTATTCAGGGCCGAGGACAATGGCCGCCTCACAGACTTTAGATGCTGAGGTTCTCTCTGGCCCCTAGAGGGGGCATGATGGTGCTGCTCCCCATCCCCCAACCCCCCAAGGTAAGGCCTTCCAAAGTTGCCTATGGCCTGTGCTCTGGAGCAGGGCAATGGGAGGTAGGAAAGGACTGTATGCAAGTGCTCCAGTGTAGGGGTCTCGATAAAACTAACTACTCAGGGACCTGGCAATTCAGGGATGTGGGGCCACGGAGGAGTAGCCTGAGGTCACAGGCCCATTTGGTTGGGCTGTTGGAACTCACTCAGCAGCGGACAGAAGCCAAATCCTGTCCCATCCTGATGTGAAATCCTTAAGCTCCAGCACCCAAGCCTGAAACCATCCTGTTCCTTTCCCTCCTTCTCAACTTCCTTTCCCCTCCTTCAACCCCAACATACACAGAAGAGAAACTTTTAATAGGTTTCTCCTCACCCATAATTGATTTCAAATGTTCCCTGCAGTTGCCCAGCTGAGTAACCACCTGCAGCTCCAAGTTGCAGGGGACTGAGTCAGTAAGTCCATGTCAGGATCAGAGCTTGAGTCCATGTGTCTTCATTCCACAAATATTTACTGAGGGCCTTGCCATGCAAAGCCCAGCGAGGCACTGTGGGGAGTACAAAGAGTCTAAGAAACTGTCCCTCACTTGAAGACCCGTTTTTCTCTTGTGAGGATCCAAGTTTCAGAGCAGATGCCAGTATAGAACAGAGGAGTCAGGCCGACCTGGACTATGGTCCCGTCTCTGACACTTATAAGTGCTCTGATCTTTGGCAGTCTGTTGAACTTTTCTGAGCCTTGGTTTCCTCAAGTCAAGAAATGAGATATGTCTTACAGAGTTGTTGTGATGTTTAAATAAATCATATATGTAAAGTGCCCGACACAGGGCTTGGCCGGTGGTACTTATTTATGATGTGGTATTAACTGCAGGAGATAGTCATCACTAAGAGCAGTGGGTGCTAACCTACTTATCTTTGGCTCTACTCACGAACCTATAATTTTTCCTTAGGTGAGGTACTAACTTTAATTTCTTAGGAATTTAGTTAGGTAATCTGTGAAATAGGAATGATGGTAAATAGGATTTTTCACATGATGGTTTCAAGATGATTGAGAACACTGTAGAATCAGATGCCTAAAAGAACTCCATTTTTTTTTTTTTAAATCACATGTTCTTTTTAGCCTGGGCCGTACTATTTTGAATAAATTGGACAATGGCACTAAAGCTTTTTTGGCATCACAAACCTTTTTGAGAATCTGATGAAAGCTATGCTTACTCCCCAGAAAAACATACATGTTCACATAGTTTACATAGCTTTCAGAGCTTTTTGGATTCCTGATGGCCAGTGTCTCCTGACCATGGGTTAAAAACCCCTTGTTTAGGGCACTTTGATGGCTTTTTTTGGTATGTTTTGAATGACATCTAAGAAATGTGAATTTATGGGGTACCGAGACATCCCCTTCTCCCAATAAGGGAGCTGTGTACTCAGGGTAAGAAGTTTCATTCGTGTGGACACGGAGCTTCACAGAAGACAGATTCCCATACCCAGAAGTGTCAACGTAGATGTGAAGAGAGTTTCAAATAAGGACCATGTGTGCTATCTCCCCCTTTATCCAGTTCTAATGACAGGGGAAGAGCCATATACCTTCCTCAGAGCTCCTCAGGAGATGAGGATTCTGTGACCTTCCTCCTCAGCTGCCTCTTCCTATATTGCAACAATGATCAAAGTCAGAGTGTTTGTTTGCCCTCATGGGACCCTGAGGAATTACCCATTTCCTCCACATTATAGCCCTGCTCCTTGACCGGGGTCCAGATGTGCAGCAAAGCTGTAGCA